ATACATACAGGTTAACTCGTCGAGTACCGGTTTTGTAGACACAATTATAAAACAATAGGTTGCGGTCACCGGTGACCGCTTGGTGTTTGACAGTTTAAACTGAGAACCCCCTTTTTTTGAAGTCGATTAAAAAGCAAAACAAGTAACCAACATTCCAGTACCCGAATTTAGAAAATCGGGTTTAGTTAGTGACTAAATAATTCGCGTTACGTAGGTATTTAGTCAGTCAGGATCAGGGAGAAGGCTTTGGTCGTGTTTGTGCCAAATAAATACTTTGTGTAACCGTAAACTGCCAATAAACTTAACATAATATTACGTGTTTACTTTACTTTAGCTATGTAGAGATAAGAGATAGTTTTAAGTGTGGGAAAGTCATGCTTCGATACGAATGGGCCGGCTCGACCGGAGTGATACCACTGGCTTCACAGAAAGCCGACGTGACACAACGAAAGCGTTATGTACATATGTCACGTCGTGTGAATGAGGTTACCGGAGACCCGACTACCTTCGTCCTCCCTTCCCCAATAACCCCAATCCCTGAATCTCCAACCATTCTCAAATGCCTAATTCCTAAAATGCCGGTAACGCAATTGTAAGGCCTCTTGTATTCCGGATGTCCATGGGCAACGCCGATTGCTTACCATTCGATGATCCGTCTGCTCGTTTATCGGCTGATCCCATAAAAAAGAGATACAAAATAACCAAAGTTTTTTTATTATTCTTGTCAATTTCAGAACTTCTGACAACTGATCGAATCTCATGCTGATAATCGAACCACCCTTTGCTTCCGTAATAAACGAAACATAATGCCTTTTAACGCTGTAAGACGTAGACACATACACAATGTAATTTTCCACTGCTCATGTTCTTCAATCCACTCTCTGTAACTATAAAACCATTTACAGCATGACCAGATTTCTTTACAAAGATTCTAATTTTCTGTACAACTCAAAGTCATTACGAGTCCCATGTAAATAAATCTCCCGATACATTCCGATCATGGTGGCCAGCATAACTAGAGTAGCTCATTGTAGGAGATATTAAATGCACATATGTGTGCGCAAACACAAGTGCACTCTCTGTTACCTCACTCTTTGAACCCAATAGGACGGCAGCACGACATGACCGGAGAGAGGTCAGACGCAGGACCAACAGTTTTACTTGATTTCCAAGTCCCCGTGACTTGGAACACCGTCGAACTTCCTGACTCCAGGCTAATAATGTTCATTTTACTCAGAAAATGCCATTATAATTTTGGCAATCGAACCCGCGACACGTTGCACAGCATTCAATCACCAAAATACTGCGCCAATGCAGTCACGGTCCCATGTAAATTATGATGCGACCTTATTACCATACAAATTACTCAGTAATATCATTGTATAATAACATTTCTTATCAATAATTTCATTTAGCTCCCGCACGCGAGCACCGCCGCCGTATCATGGAGATTTAACCAAGTTAATATGGTTAATTACTCCCTAATGAGTGAAAGGAGACATTTCACCACAATTGTGTATAAAGCATACATTTAATTAGTGCAATATACACTGTTTTGTACTCAATCTTGTGTTACGTAATTAGATAACTCTAATTACGTTGAAACCGTTTAATCTTAATAATATTAATCAAGACACAACATTACGTGGCAGTCCACTGCTGTAATGTAGGCCTGTCGTACACGAGGGTTAATTGAATAGTTATCCATGCTTACCTATTCGGGGTATGATACAGATAATGTATCATTATAAAAATAAGTTTCTTAACTTATTCTTGTATAATTCTATAACATTATCTGTCTTGGGCGGTAATCATAAAATTGAAAATAATTTTGCCTGTCTCGTTGGCCGAGTTGTCGCAAATGTGACTGCCGGGCAAGGGGTCTTGGGTCGATTCCCGAGTCGGGCAAAGCATTACTGGGTTTTTTAAAAATTGTCAGTAGTAGCATGGAGTCTGGAATTGTGTCCGGTATATAGCAATAGGCCCCACCCCCTATTACACAGGACTCATAACATAAATAGTGAAAAGTGGGTGTTACATTGTACAGTGGCATAATGTGCACCTCCTGTCCTCTGCCTACCCCTTCGGGAATAAAAGGTGTGAAAATAATTTTGTTAATTTGTAATATAAATGTTTTGCCAGTTAACAGCAATAGATACTACTTTTAAACCCTATATTAATATAAAAAGCCTATACCTAAGTTCCAAGCCCTAGACAGCACCAGCAGTTCAAACTCTATGGTTTTACTGAGAGTATCGAAAATGGAAGCTAAAGACACGATATAGAAACTAAAATCCCACATCAGTTGCACAATAAAAATTGCAGCAAATTCTTCGAATCGAAATTATATGCGAGAATTGAAACTAGGACACAGAGGTCAACTACCAGCTAGTCGATAATTATGCCAACCGAGACCGCAGCTGCCATGACAGGAGACCTCAGGATGACCTATAGCATTTCTAATAAACAGGATCATCTTGATATAAGTAGACAAACCATAGTAATACAGTATTCTTTGATAAAGGGGCAAGACAAACTACATTCTTATGTAGGGGAAAGTCCCTTAACGCCGGACGGCACCTAACGCCGTACGCTTGTATTATCTCTATAACGAATAACGCGAGCGATTCAACTTTTAGGGGGAAGTCTCCCAGTGGCAGACACCTAAGACTTTTAGTAAAAATTGAATCGTTCGTGTTATCAGTTATCGAGATAATACAGGCGTACGGCGTTAGGTGCCGTCCGGCGTTACGGGACTTCCCTCTAACACTATCTTTTTGTTAGTCATGATGAGCCTTATCACGATGACTCTTATGCAATAGGGAATGCGTAAATAGGAATATACAGGTATCAACTATGGTGTTTAGATGAGGGAACATGTTACCTACTCGATCCTTGATGTGCAAGTTACATTCACGACAACTTTAAACCAAATAAAAGGTATTTTAATAGAATACGTCAAACAATTAAAAGAAAATCTAGTAGCGCCTCGGCCCAGCTTTGCCTGATTGCTGGGTATTTCTTGATATTCCCGATGAAATATATTTAAAAAATATACTGACTGCACGGTTGGCGCGGTGGCTGGGCAACTAATTGCCGCGCACCGTGTCGACGGTTCGATACGACGGTTCGACAAAGAGTTGTTCCGTGTGGGAACACGGAACAACTCTTTGTGTGATCCACAGATTTTTGTTCCGGGTCTGGGTGTCATGTGTATGTGATATTGTATGATTGTAAACACACGCGACACAGGAGAAAACCCTAGTGAGGGGCAACGTTTTTTTTAAAAAAAATCTATCTTTTATGCAAACTTTGTCCTAGCTATAATGAACACGACAAAAAATTCACTATCTAATTTGATGTAGCCATTAGACAGTTATAATCGTATATTTTGGCGATCCATTTTTAGTATAGTATCTAGCATAAGTTAGATTTTACTATTCCATATTTATTTTTTTAATCATACATTATGAGCGTAATAATAAATCATGATAAACTTTCTGAATTTAATAAATATATGATATTCCAGCGAGACTCTTTGCCTCCATTTGAAAATATATAACATAAGGTTACACTTTCTAATCCCTGAAAAGGTAGGTATAAGTACACATAATAATATGTATATATACAATTATACAATATATAGAATATACTTTTCTTTAATTATGTTACGAGTCCCATGTAATAGGAGGTGAGCCTTTACACTAGGCACAGATCCAGGGTCCGTGCCAACAAATAAATCTTTAAAAACCGATAAAGGAAAACTAATAATATCTTGCTCGATCCGAGAATAAACCACTAAGGACCGATTTTTCAATCATTAGTTAATATTTAACTGTAAAATAAAATTGACATTTCACAGTTTTTAGTCAAAGTCAGAGCTCGCATTTATTTCAATTAATCCTTAATTAGGCACTTTTGAAACGTCAAAAATTGAATTGCCCGTCCGTCTGTCCGTCAGGGAAGCTAAGCGCTCGATCCAAAGTGTAGTTTCGAATAGAAAAGAACGCGCAAGAAACTGAATATGAAAGAATTGTCAAATATTCAAAGTTAATCCTCAGTTAAAATTTACATGGCGTTGGAAAAATCGTCCCTATATAAATAAATTATTGATCAACCATTTACATGACTCGTTTAAGGTTGAATTTTAATTTTTTATTTCCCCAACAGTTTGACCCCAACTCGTTTTGGCCGCGGTCCGCCACAGTCATGGCAAAAGGTCTAAATAATATTATAATATAAAACTATAAAACTGACGTAAAATGGCCATTTGTGCTCCAAATGATTGTCTACTTCTAACTAATTGCTTCTACATACATACCTACATAATGTTTCTAATTGCTTCCATGTTAATGATAAAACTATCAAGGCTTCTGCGATTATTGCAGTTGCGAGTGTTGCTATGCATTTTTATATTATATGACTCAACCATTCGACTGGTAACTTTGACCTATTTTCGCGCTAAAGTCATTAATATGATATTTGTATTGGTCCATCCACGACTTTTAAAAACTTGAATGCATGACTTGGTTAATATGTAAAACAAACGTGTGTACACCTAAATTACAATCTATAGTAATTTTGTCTCATTAACTAGACGAATCAACTGATATTATCTAATTGTATTTATTACAAATTGTCTTTGATAACTTAAATAAATAACTGTAGCCGGTACAGTGGTAAGGTAATTCTTGTTAAAATATGTATATTTTAGTCGCACATAAAGCTAATAAATTAAATATTAACTAAATAAAAATCTACAATATATTAACTTCTATAACTGAATAAAATTCCTCGTAAGCTCACTACAAAAAAGCATTTTGAAATAAAAACGGTCGTACGAGCTCAATGAAAGCTTTGCTTGCGAGAAAACTTAATTAAGCCCTAGAAAAATGTGAACAAAAACTTATAAAGCAACGTCTACAAAACATCTCATTAAACTGTCAAAATAAAAATAAATTGCATTTTACGTAAAATAAAACGAATATATGTGAACGAACCTTTTTTATGGTCTATAACTCGCACTGGCTGGCAACTTCGTAAAAACCCATGATCTGGACACTTAATAAAAAAATGTAACTGTCAAATTAATGTCGTATTTCGAATCGGTAGAGCACTGCACTATTTTATAAAAAGTTCACATGTGTAAAGTGAGTGCGAGGGATGAAAGCGGGCGGTTGTGACGGCGGGTGTAGAGCGACTGGCTGCCGCGGGCTCGGGGTGGCGAGCTCCGTACCTCGAGCCAAGATGAAATTAAATTCCCCAGAAAACGAGTAAGGTCGAGAATTTTCATTCAAAGAGCTTATTAGTGTTTTATATGAATGCGGTCTTACGTTTAGGTAGTATAACGAACTAGGAAAATAGTTTTTGATTCTTAGAAGTCTTTAAATGAAATATGTAATTAGTGCAATTTTGAATTAATGGACTTAGCAAAGGAATTCTTACAGCATTTCGAGTTCACTCGGAATTTTAAATACTAAACGAGACTAAGGGTATTGCAAGTAATATTACAACATACGACCAATAAATATAAATAAACTTCTGCAACTAAAACTCCCTGAAACAAAGTAGAGATACTGAAGCTGGCAACACAAAAAAGGTTCGGGTGAATTCGACAGGCGTCGGATACGGCCTCACAGAGCTCACAGGACGCACTAAGCGGACTGAATTCTGATGCTTTCAAATGAAAAATGCAATAGGGCGACGTTATTGCATTTATACTCGTACTCTTCCTGCGAGAGTATTAAGAACATAATCATCATTTCTCTGCACTTTCCTATGGTTGACTGTAAGAGAATGCCTTAAACTGTCAAACACCAAGCGGTCACCGGTGACCGCAACCTATTGTTCTATAATTGTGTCTACAAAACCGGTACTCGACGAGTTAAGGCATTAAGTCCACCATTCACTGTTGTATTTTGTGAAGAAGAAAATAAATAAACATAACATCACGCTTTTTATACCCAAAGAGGTAGGTAGTGGTGCATTACGGCACTTAATACCACTAGACCACTACAATGTAACACCCACTTTTCACTATTTATGTAACATAAGTCCCATGTAATAGGAGGTGAGCATATTGCCATATACCGGGCACATCTTTGAAATTCGTGCTACTACTGAGAATTAAAAAAATACCTAGTAATACTTTGCCGGACCCGGGAATCGAACCAGAGACCCCTTGCCCGGCAGTCGCACTTGCGATCACTCGCCCAATGAGGCAGTATTTAGAACTAAAGGACTATATATTTAACAGAGAGGCATCGTACTGATGAACCTGATGTTTTAAAACTGCAATTCACCTACCAATCATGGAGCACAACCTGCACAACAGTCTCCTCTTTTTTACCGACTTCAAAAAAAGGAGGAGGTACTATGTTCGGATGATTATTTTTTTTGTTCGTCGGTGCAATAAGCTCATACAAAATGATATAACTTAATGGGCACAAAATTGTAAACAGCTTCAAATTAGGTAGGTATCTATTAAGGTTCTAATTAATAATTTTGTTTAGAGCTTATGGTTCCGACTTCTAACCTATCAGTGGGTGTGTAGTGTCAGTACTAATAATAGTAATTTATTGCTTTTTACTTTTTGTTGTTCATTAGTTTTCAGTTTTTGTAGAGGTCTATTGTCCAGCAATAATAATATATAAATCCGCGCGCGCCTCATGGTGTTTTCATCAGACCACCACAGATGGGGCCCAATAGGGCTGATGCCAATTCGGAATCGCAGAGAACCTAACGGGTTACCGGGGCTCCGGCTCGAAGTGCAGGAGAAGGAACGGGATGGTTTTTAGTTAGTAAGAGTCTGACACACCCTTCTGCCTCACCCAGGTGGGAGCAGTCATTCGATGATTTTCTCCCCTTAAAAAATATTAGAACGTATTGCATTTGTATATAAGGTTTTTATTACAGTCTCATTTCAAAAGGTATTAGTACTCGGGAAAGACGAGAATGCCTTCACACACCTTTTCAAAATCAACGCATTAAATATGAAAGTTTTCATTTCGTTGCTGTTTATGAAGCGTTTTAACTGAAACAATTTTGTTTCGTCGCAATTGAATTGGTTTAATGAGTTATAAATGTAGATGTTATGAAAAGTATGACTATATTGAAATTTAAAAAGACGCTAAAAGAACTTTTGCTTGACAAATGCTATTATATTATTGACGCCTTTCTTAATGATGACTTACTGACTTATTAATAATATGATACCTTTAATTTCATCTTTCTTGACATTCAATTATTATAATTATTTCAATTCTTAATTTATTGGTAACGTATATTGTATGAGATTGTATAAGCTAAACTTGTAGATAAATTGATTAGGAAATACTTGCATGCCATAATGGCAAAATATGGAGAACCGTACCATAAATATTAAACACCTTTTGTATATTTTATAACCCATGTTTGCAACCGAAATAAATGATTTGATTTGATTTGATTTGATAAAATTTTGTATGTTTTTTTTCTTTAGCTTAGTGCACTTAAAATTGGTACCTAGGCTGATTTAATGTCAATAGCTTTATCTACCAATAGGAACTTTAAGTGAAGCAGAGAAGAATTATATTTCAAGAATCTTAGCACTTAATGAGAAAGTAGTTCGAATATTAAATATAATATTATTTTTATAATAACTGTCGTGAGATAGTATTCTAAATTAACTAAAAAGCGCGGGATACTCACGTGAATATATTGAGAAAAGGAGTGGGTTGCGCGACATCGCCGCGACCACGCACGCTGCTCATGAGGAAGAACTCCCCTGTGGTTCGAAACTAGTAGAACTTTTCTCAGTATTTCCACGTGAGTAACCCACGATTTTTAGTTAAGTACGTGATGCTAGCCTATTCTGTAACTGTTAATTTTAACTTTTAAATTGACCTCGATCGCATTCTTGCGCATCATTGGTCAAAATTAATTTTAAAACCAATGACATTGCAGATCGCAATCTTTTCAATTAAAAAAAAAATCTCTATATAAGCTTAAACTCTTCGAACTGTTGATAATGATGAGAACCCAACCTCGGCAGTTTACTATTTGCTAGCCACTTTACAATAGAACCGATAGTATATTCTATCTACATCTATTTTCAATTAGAGGAATGAAACCAATTTATAGATTGTACCTCAAGTTGGTCTCTCTCCGTTGGTCAAATTCCGTTTGCAGAGAGCCTTTGTGCGCTCTTGAAGCCACAGTTACGTGAGCGAATGGACTGTTCTCGTTGTATCTGATTCTATGTGGTGTATTGGTGAGTAGGTATTGCAGTTTGTATCTTAATGTATCTTCTGTTTATATAAAAATGAAACTCGTTTCCCGTTGTCACGCCATAACTTGAGAATGGCTGATTATTTATTTTTTGTTGTGTTTTTTATTGTCATAGGTTCTTATGACAGAAAAAAGTCCTGAAAATCCTACGGGAACGGGAGAAAACGGGATTGCGAGTACAAAGTCGCGGGCAGAAGCTAGTGATTTATAAAATTACCTAATTAATAACACGTAATGACGTTAAAGTGGTTTAAAAATATTCAACCAACTTTGCCGAAGTGTAGTCAACTATAGTCAAGCCAGAATTGGAAAATCGCGCCGATTATCGATTATCTACCTCTAAATATGGAGCTTCAACTCAATTTAATTACCTAATTAAGATTCTCTTAATTCCTTTATACCTAAGTATGGTAAATATGGTTTATTTTTTATTTATATTTTAAGTGTGGGAGAGCCATGCTTCGCCTCGAATGAGTGATACCACAGCCTCACAGAAAACCGACGTGAAGCAACGCTTGCGTTGTGTTTCGTCGTGTGAGTGAGGTAACCGGAGGCCCAATTACCCTCCCCTTCCCCAATCTCCCCAATCCCTGAATCCCCAACGATCCTCAAACTCCTAATCCCCAAAAGGCCGGTAACGCACTTGTAACGCCTCTGGTGTTCCAGGTGTCCATGAGCGACGCTAATTGCGATCAGTTGATCCGTCTGATCGTTTATCGGCTCATGCCATAAAAAAAATAGGTTTAAAACGTGCTGACATCGATAATTAATTAATTCAATAACATCAGTCTTGTTATTCACTAAATAATTATTGATTTGATTTTTTAAAAATATTGCTAACTACTTCTAGTACTGAGAAACCTGAACGCTTAACTATAACTGAAAGAATTTCCAAGCAAGGCTACAGGCGTCCAGACACAATAACCCTCTATCGCCTAAGTCCCGTGGCAACAGCAATTAATTAATACGACAAAGGCGCATGTCACTTCGTCAATGACTGACAGTAAAACTGCGATGTTTCGTCAAATGACAATCCGTTAAGGTTCATTTACATAATACCATTTACTTGCCACAGTGGCCGGCAAGTCAACCTACTGAATACTGTAATTTTTTTCATTGTGTTTTCGACTTTACAATAAAACGATAAAGTTGAAAATATGATAAAGAATTTTGACAGAATGAAATAGGTTGACGTGCTGGTCTGTATGTTCAAAAGAAATATTTGCATTCACTAAATTTAGCGTAATTACTGACTCTTAAGAATTGTAAGCGACTGTTTAGACGACAAAAATTAACGCAATTATTAACTAACACACATACACTAAAAAAAAGTTAAATAATAACTCGCATAAATAGATTAAGAATGTTATACGTATTGTTTAGTGTATGAAAAATGTCATTTATTTCATTTGAAATAAAATAAATGATATTCATATTTTTAAACTAGACTGCCTCGTTGGCCGAGTGGTCGCAAGTGCGACTGCCGGGCAAGGGGTCTCGGGTTCAATTCCCGGGTCGGGCAAAGTATTACTGGGTTTTTACAAAATTCTCAGTAGTACCACGGAGTCTGGAATTGTGCCCAGTATATGGCAATAGGCTCACCCCCTATTACATGGGACACATAACATAAATAGTGAAAAGTGGGTGTTACATTGTACAGTCATAATGTGCACCTCTGCCTACCCCTTCGGGGATAAAAGGCGTGATGTTATGTTATGTTATATTCATTTTTTATGGAATAGGAGGCAAACGAGCGGACGGATCACCTGATGGTAAGCGATCAGCGCCGCCCATGGACACCCACATTCATGCCAGTTAAATATTATTACTTTTATTTATGGTACGTGACAGGCAAGAAACTTGCATCGTGTAAACGAGGCTTTATACCGCGACTCGTAAAAGCGAATCAAACTGACGTTTG